ATTAAGACAGCTATGTTCTCCTTTTAACACATAATCTACTTTTTCCTATACCCACTTTCTACTATATATATACTCTTTCTTTTCCTCATCCTCTATAATTTCAGGATCCTCTTGTAAATACTTTTATGTAAGTAATGTAAGAAGAAAATAAGAGGGAAGGGCAACTAAAAGAGATGACAAGTGTCAAATTTTAGAAAGAAGGTGAAGGGTCCACATTAGAGGAGTATGATATGAGTACTACTACATTTCTGGAGTAATTTGGGCATATTACCCATAATAGGAGTATCCTCCCAATTTGAAGAAAAATGGGGGTGGAGTACTCCCACTGCAAATGGTTTTAGTCAAATGACCTCATTTAATATGGTGGTATTTTTCAAATTTTCCCTTTTATTTTTCTAATTTTCGAATACAAGTATTTATTGTAGTTAGCATGCCCATGCTGAAAACATTGTTCATGGTAGTTGGCATGTCTGAATTTGCAACTCCCACACACCATTTGGCACAAGACCACCGTATTGACTTTTGCCAATAATAAAAGTCAAATACACTTAGCTTTCCTTTTCCATTCAATGCTCAATCTAGATGGCTTCTCTTATTGGTTTATTTTCTTTAATGTTAATGAAATTGTACCATATCATATTCATATGAATGTAGAACATTTAATGTGCAAAGAATGGGAAGGAGATAACAGATAAGAGATGAGTAAGAAATCCAATACAATTCATCAATTTCGTGTATAAAGTCAAAGGGAGGGCGGCTATGTTATTGGTGACTTGGTGAGTATGTATGTAATCAGTGTTATAAATCATAAAATATACTTCCTCCGTTCTTTTATTATTGCACCACTTGCCTTTTTAGTAAGTTTCACAAATATTGCACCATTTCCTCTTTAGGAAAAAAATTATTTGTGTTCACACTACAATTACCCAACATACCCTTGCTTTTTCACACTTACTTTTTAGTTTATCAATGTCACATGAGCAATTATGTATTTTTACCTTTCTCTCTCTTACTTTTTTCCACTATTAAAATATTTACACCCAACCCCTATGGTGCAATAATAAAAAAAAAACGGAGGAAATAAAATATTTTATCTGAAAATTGATAAATAGGATTGTTGAATTCAATTGTGTTGCGACGTGGCGAAGGCGTAGTGAACCTATTGTACAAATATAATTTCACTCGTATCTTTGTACAGGTTGAATAATTGTAGTGTAGAGATTTCATTCCCTCCATGATTTTGACTTGGACAATCTTGTGTGATCTTATTCGATTTTGGCTACTTGCATCCGAGCTATTTGTATTTGGATTCTCGAGATTGTTTGATAAGTAGTCGTGGTCGCTTCATTCTCATCTCGAGTACTTGCTGCTCAACCTGTTTCTCAACACTAATACAAATTGGAAATATAATTACAATAGATCCAAACAGCGTATATTTGTGGTAACACATACAAAATCTCTTGTTTTAAACATTTTAAAAATATTTCTGAACCCCTATAAACATATGCTACACCATCTTTACCTTCGTACTTAAGCCCCTTATTTATATAGTACTCCCTGGAACAAAAACAAAATTGCACTAAATAGAAAACTACGGCCCAAACCAATATAGTCGTGCGCCCAACTACAGGGTCATGTACTATGCATCGCGGAATAGCAGTATGGTACACGATCAAGTACAATGAAGTATTTGGTCGTGTACCTAATTGGTCACCGATTCAAGGCATTTTCTAAAACTTGATAATAAAACCATAAAGGTTTAGTATAAAACTACATGGCATTTAAGTTTGTAAATTTGGGAAATGATATATATTAGACGAAGGCATTTTCAAGGGCTGCTTTGAAGAAGATGATCGAGGAGCTCATCATCAACAAAGAACATTTTGAAATCTTTGGACTTCTTCTAGTTAGACTAACACATGCCTTGTAACAGGTGATGATACGTCCAAGATCCGGATATAATAGGATAGGAAGTTCGTATAATTTGAGTATAACATCAGTGTTTGAGCATTCCACTTTACGGGATTTTAGCACTCAAGTGTGCATGTTCATTGTGCAAATTAACTTTCAATTTCAATTTTTTTATTTTTTTAATTTAATATCAAACTTTAGAGAGTATTAGCAATAATCATAACCAAAATGTAGGGAGAAAGGAATCACCTTGTTGGAGACCCCTCAAAGGGATACTTCACCACAAACATAACCATTAGTGAAATTCTAGTAGAAAAATATTCAAATGTTAGAAGGTCATATAATTCAAATGTTTCTATATTTAATTTGAACATAGCCAAATATTGAACACAAATAAACAGTATAGGAAGTAAGAGGATCCCTTTGTCAAATATAGCCAAATAAATAGTACGGAGTATAACATTTCTAACACAAATGTCCTTACATTTGAACACAAATAAATAATATAGGAAGAAAGAGAATCCCCTTTGTTTACACAAATTTCGAGTCTAAATAAATAAAGACGGAAAAATAAAGTAACAAATGAATTTATATTAATATGTGATTTTTGGGTAAAATCTCTGTATAAAAGTTTATAATAAACTAAGTCCTCTGATTCTGTTCCGCAGCTTGACGATGACACGTGTGTGACACCTGTAGGTTGACGTTTGATAACGTCGACTTGAGTTTTAATGCAGGGTGACGTTTGATGATGTCAACCTGTATTCAAGGGTTTTGTTTGAATACACCTGAACGAGGGCTTTGGAGCTTATTCCCGTTCAGATATGTTTGAGTGTGTCTGAACAAGTCGACACGAGTTTGATATGTTTGATGACTTACTTCAGAGGGAATTCCGTTTGAGTTTTATGAGCTCTTGGAATAATGATTTCTGGATCCCTCCAACTGACGGAGGAATGGTGTATTTATAGGAGATGAGAACCCCTTGAGTGGACTTAGTAGGTTTGGGCCTGACCCATTTTATGACTTAGAAGTCTTTTAACCTAGTCCATTTAATTTATTTTATAATCCGAATTGTATCTGATTAATTCGGATTATTTATTTGGGTGGGCCAAAAATATTTAAAATAGATCATTAATATGATTTAACCCAAATTAGTTTTATTTAATTTAATGTATGACACTCATAAAATTTCCGTGTCTACACCCTTATCAAAGATCATACATTTGAGCTTATATTGATCGAGGTTTATCTCTTAAGAAAATTTTAAAAGACGTTTACATACATTATACCATTCACTATACACACTAAGGGCCTAAAGTAGGAAATTCCACTAAACTTTGTCCACTAAACTTTGTCATATGTCATAAGCCTTGCTCAACATATACATAGGTTTGAATAAATTACCTCTTTGGCTATTAGATTTTTATTTGGATTTTTTGGTTAGTGATAGCTGACACATTTTGAATTTTTTTCTTCTATTTTGTAAAATTCACGAAGTATTTAATACTTCATCTGTCCCTAAATTACATTCCTGGTTTCTATTTTGGGTATTCCAAAATTACATTCCTCCTTTTCATTTTTAGTAATTTTTTTTTCCAAATATCCCAAATCAACTCTATTTTTCTGTTGTATATTTAATGCTTTCTCACTCTTACTATCCTAATCACACTCTTATTTTCTCTCTCCATCGATTTTTTCAATTAGAAGCATGTTATTGGTCCTTTTTTTTTTACAAAGAATTGATGACATGGCATCATTAATCATTAATCTATATTTGTTTTAGACAAAGACATTATTTAATGTTTTGTATTTCCTATTGAAATACTTTATTATTGTTATTTGTCTTATTCTTTCCTTCTTAATTCCCGTGTAATTTTACAAACAAGAATGTAATTTAGGGACGGATAGAGTATATGTGTTCGGGGTATCTTCCCTGTATTTTGTTAGCATCTTTAAGTGCTGACCGTACATACATATGTGGCTGCACTAATATTATTTCCTTGTGGAATCGGTAACATTGACCGAACCACAAAAAATTCTCGTGTTAATCATCTTAATTGCTTTTCAATTGTTATCTATAATAAATTGTTGCCTATAGATGATAGAGAGATCTAGAGATATTGGAGGAGGTTGAGAAGCGAAATATAAAACGGCTGTAGGGGAGTGGGGGTGGGTAGTTTATACGAGTAATTTATAAGATTAATTAGGTTTTCAATTTTTTAATTTTTGTAAAAAAATTCAAATTTTTAATAAAGAATAAAATATTATAATATTATATAAAATCTAAGAAATCATATTCTAAAGACATACGGTATCTTATTTTTATCTAGAAACCAGATTTCTCTAAAATAAGGTTTCTTTGTCTAAGAAACCGGATTTTTGAATTACACGGTGCCTTTAGTGTGGTTCCTTAGGTCATTTTTATAGTAGTGTGATCGACCCATTGCATTAAAATACCCACCAATTTACAATAATTTTTGTGAAAATTTACTTCCCCATATAAAATTTTATTTTTTTTTATGTATTTTTAATACTTTATCTTTGTACTTTTTTACAAATCCTTATGTAAATTTATTTTTTCAATATGTTTTTATTTCTCTTTATTAACCGCAAAGTCAATTAGGGTCGAAGTTTTGGGGACGAAAGTAGTACAATTTATATATTTTCTACAACAGAAAGTGAAAAATTAGAAAGAGAGAAATTTTCTTTAAAAAAAACAGAGACATGGAGAAAGAATACAATTCTCACTCGTTTGAGTCGTTTCCACCTCTAATTTCTACATTTTCATCATCATCCACATCAAAGCCGTTGTATTGACTCTAGAGTAGCAAGAAAACGGGCAACAAAAAACTACACAATCCCATAACTACTCAAGATTTTACCAAAAATGCCACAAAAAAATTATAAAGTTCTAAAATGTAAAACAAAAATAAAAACACTAATTTATCAACACAACAACACTGGTCATAAAAGAAATTCATTACCAACGAAAAGCAAATCCTAATTATTGAAATTTGCTATGACTTTTCTCCCTTATTTTTGTTTTTATAGTCTATTAAATTAAAAAAAAATATGGGGGAACATATATATGCCATCAAAAGAATGTACTCCGTATTATCATGTATACTCGTATATAATATTTAGTATCCTTCTTACACAAAAGAGAAAAAGAAGCCCATAAAAAATTGTATATAAAAAGCTAATTTAATTTCAATGGTAAGACTTGAGAATTGATCCACAAAAGGTACACATAATAGCTCGCCAAGACTTCCAATAAAATGGTATATGACAGAACCTAGTAGCAGTCTTCATATCAGCAACACTAGCACCACCACCACACCGCGAACACGTACCGGCAGCCGGTTTGCTCTTCCTAACTTGACGTTGTTGATCAACTAGGAAGCAAAAACACACCATTTTATTTATATCGGGGTAACTTTTGATTGATTATCGCTCGTATTCACAATCAGTGTTTATAAGTACTACAAGTAATGTATTTAGAGGCGTGTTTTGTGCTTTTCAACCTTCACTTAAATTTGTTTTTGGGTTAGTTGGAAGAAGAGGAGAGTTTGTTGGAAAGGATATTAATTCATATGGTTCGAAACAAAGAATAGAGAGGAAAGGGTATTTATAGAAACTCAAGAATTTTGTTGGAGTAAAGAAGTTGGCAGTTGTTTTACTCAAAAATAAATGTATGAATAATAATAATAAAATAAAGTTGGCAGTTGCTACTTGATAAATAGCATTTGGCAAGTGGGTATGGGAACATTTTAAATTGATTGAGGTCAGCAATCAGTTGGGTGTAATTAATGAGCCCTTTCTACGTGAGTAGGAATTATAAATAATGTTACAACTTATAAAAAAAAAAAAAAAACGGAGGGAGTATTAATCTAGCTAAGGATATCGAACCTGAAAGAGACAATAATTGAATAAAAGTAATTATGCGGATCAATATAGACAAATGCTTTTTGGCTTTTGACAAAATATAACATGACTCAAACAATTAATTATTGTACAAATTAAACATAGTACTGTTTGGAAACTGAATTATTAATTATATTACAACTAATTAATACTACAATCATAATATTTTTTTTTTTTACTTCCACTCTCATTCTCTTTAAGCTCTAAAACTCTTTCCCAAAATAGCATAGGTTAAACAAAAATTTATACTTATACTACTCTAGAAATCTAGAATATCAGATTGACTAGTAGTAGTACAAAAATGGAGAGAGCCTAAACATCTCAATCAACTACCTTAATCGCATAATTACCACTAATAATACTAATACTACATAGTTAGATTATTAATTAAACCCAATATTATTCATAGCCAAAGAGGAGGAGGCTCATTCAAGTCAACACCAAGCCCACGCCCACGCACAGGCCCAGGCCCACTTCTCAAACCCAAATCCAACCCCAGCCCATCAACTCTAGGCCCAACATTACCGGACCCTCTCACAGATGGACCGGACCCAGTTCTCAAATACTCAACGAACCCCCCTTGGTGGGCCGAAACATTTACACCGGCCCAAGAGGTGGTATTGGGCCGGAGATTGAGGTCGAGAGAGACGGAAGAAGACGGCGGTGGTGGCGGCGGCGGAGGCGGCGATGGTAGAGGCGGAGAGAGAAGAGGGAAGTTGGTTTTAGCTTTGATGCCACGGAGAGCGCGGGCAGCGCCGTCGTAAGCGAGGGCGGCTTCTTCGGGTGTGTCAAATGTGCCTAACCAAACCCGGGTTTTTTTCCATGGGTCGCGTATTTCGGCCGCGTAGCGGCCCCAGGGCCGCTTGCGGACGCCGCGGTAGTGTGTTTCGGTTCGAGTGTTTGGGGTCGAAGTCATTGGGTTTTAGAGGGAGAAAGTAGAGAGAGAGAGTGTGAGTGAGGGGAAAGGAGGAGACAGAAGACGAGGTAATGGGGAAATAGATAGACAAGGAAAAAAAGGGGGGAGAATAAGGTGGTATGTATAAAGTTGCTAAAGAATTGTCCTATAAAGTTGCTATTGCTACATTTAGGATTTACTTCATCCTTTGTCTTTTTTAAACGTTTGCTCCCTTTATCTTTGAAAGAATGATAGTCCTTTATGGTCAAAATCTAGTCTTAAATTGATTAATTTATTTGTATGTATCAAAATACTCTTTAATTTACAATAATATTTGTATAAAGTTTGGTTTTTCATGTAATTTTGTTTTTCACGTGCTTTTTATTCTCTCTCTACATTTTATAAAGTATAAAAAAACTTAACATTTCGGATCTATTTTAATTGACTGAAATGAGCTGAATTGAACTTATTGAAGTTGAACTTACTTTAATTAAATCAAATTGAATATTTATCATAGAAGGAAATTAAGAACTGACTAACAAAAATTTGAAGAGAACACTAGAACATACCCTTAAGATTGGTTCACTTTACTTAAAAAAATAACATTCAGGGTCTGTTCTGTTCACCTTATTTTCACTTATTTCAGGTTTAATAAGTTCAGTTAAGTTCAGATAAGGGTTAATAAGTTCAAATAAGTTCATGGTTAATAAGTTCTAAATTAACGTTCTCCTCACCTTATTTCCACTTATTATATTTATATAGAGTTATTACTAATCAAGATTGCTTTTGGAATACATAATTATAACAAACTCGTATTATTTGCTACATGCCTACATTAATGAGAAAGTGAGAGTCGTCGTCGTCGGTCATTTGGTTTCACATTCATTTTCTACATATTATTTCTGATATACTAGGTTTGATTTATTTTTTTTTAATTTTTTTTTTGTTGCAACTTTGGAATATTATTTAATAGATACGTAGTATATAATATTCTAAACTTACAACTAAAAAAATTGGAAGTACTCCTTCCGTTTTTAAATACTTGCTCAATTTCTCCATGCACGGAGTTTTAAAAGAAATTGGAGAAGTTAATAAAATATAGAGGTAGTTTGGTGGAAGAATAAAAAATTTAAAAAAACTATTAAAAGTAGTGGAGAGAATTGAAGGAGAGAGAATATGAAATTAATATTATTGGGTCCATTTGGTGAGAGAAATTAATTAAATATTGTTAAAGATTTCCAAATAAGAAAATGGAGCAAGTATTTAAAAACAACCGAAAAAGAAAAGTGAAGTAAATATTTAAAAATAGAAGAAGTAGTATTAGATTTTCTAATACTCCCTTTGTTTTTAAATACTTGCTCCATTTCTATTTTTTACAATATTTATTTGTCCTACTTTGACTAATGTTTGTGATTTATATATAAGAAAAAATATAGTCTTGTGGGTACTTGTTGGAATCATCTCAATGAATAAATTATTAATTTTCAATTGTTAGAATTTATACTTATTGATAATTAAAGATATTAGTGATCAAATATTAATATCGGCATGCGTGTCCAAGAGAAATGGAGCAAGTATTTAAAAACGGGTAGAGTATTTTAGTGTAAAATAAAGCGTTAAATACGAGTAAAATAGTGAGGGCAATAATAGTACAACGGTAATTACCTGAGGTGGGGTCGGCATTATTTAAAAAAAAAAGAAAGAAAAAAGGACAACACAGGTGGGAATTGAAAAATAAAAAGAGGTGGACTAATAGAGCCGCCGCATGAATTGATGTGCGGCGGAACCCAAACACAAACACAAATAAAACCCCCTAATAAAACCAAATGGAGTTGTGCATTTCTGCTATTCACCTTCAAAGTTCAAACCCCCCATTCATGTGACTTTAATGACGCAAGCCCTACCATTTCCTTAACTCCTATCTTTGGTCACTTCTCACTTGTACTTCACTTCTTCCTCTCTTTCTAAACTTCTTTATCTCTCTACCATTATTGCTTTCGTTTTTAGACTACTCGGTAAAAAACTTAGCCATTATTTTAAGCAAAATTAAAATTATTGAACAACACACAGTAGTTGTGTAGATCACATGCATTGATCCTTGTAACACTACATATACTCATAGTTGTGTTGATCTATGTAGGAGACTAGGAGTAAAACACAAATACAATCCCTAAACTTTTATATTTGTGTTAAATACGAGTCTGGGCCGCACCCGTCACGGGAGAGTGCAAGTCCACCACTTCACAAGACCAAGGAGGTTCCACCTCAAAAACATATGGTAATGAGGAGAGTAGCCCCTTAGCCTTATATTGTGGTAGTAACTCTTGAATTCTTTCAATGTGGGATTTCATTACCACTACACTCCCCCTATAGTGTTTAGTGTTTTAGTGTGGGACAAGAGAATGCTCACATGTGGATTGTTCATGGACTCAACAATTTGTGCACTTTTAGTCCCTCAACTTTCATTTAATTTGTGCATTGGTCATTGTAAAGCTACATATAGGCATATAGCTATGTAGATCTATATAGTTTTTTGAAGGAAATGTAGGTCTATGTAGTTTCAGCAAAACAACAATTACTCAGTATTATGGATAGTTATTGCCCTAAGAACATCCACAATAAATAGCTACATCTGGATTATTATAACAACTGAATAGTGTTGAAAGCTAAAAAATGGTGAAGTTAGTTTACTTTATGTTGGTTTATATCATGAATTTTTAACATTGAAGTTTCAATTTCTATATTTTACTTCGTATTTTAGAGTGTAAATGTATTTGCACACCAAATTATTACTACCTCGTTTTTTTTTTTATTATTATTATTTACAACAAAAGAATTTTTTTTATCTTACAATGATACCACTTTGTTCCAAAACAAAAAAAAAGAAAAAAAAAAGGTAATATAAAAGCTTAAAATTACAAAAATATACTACTTCTGTTTCTTTTTAGTTGACATGTATTCCTTTTTAGGAAATTCTTTTTAGTTCACACGTTTTCTTTTGGGGTAAATTTTTTATATCAACATTACAACTAGGCGAACTAGCAAATATGAAGTAATTAACTAGCTAGGCAAACTAGCTTATACGAAGTAATTAACTAATTTAAAAGGAGTAGAACCACCTAGTCCATATTAAGAGACGAATGTAGCCTGTTCAATTCCATTTACATTGTCTGGCTAAATTTCTAATTACTCCGTAGATAATACTCCACAATACTATTCCTCTTATAAATTTTCGAATGAAGTACTGTTTTTATAATTATTTCTTTGACCAGTACTTAAGTTACTTAACTACATTTAAAGAAAAAAAAAATTCAAAAAATAACATTAGAACTTTAGAAGTCCTCCTACAATAAAAACAAAATATACATATTTTCAATAATCTCATACTCGTATATACTTGTACTACAAAATATAGTTTAGTAAAATGAGTATACAAGCCTAGTAGCTTAGAGTAGATAGGATAAAAAAAAGATCTTGGATTATCTTCAGAAAATAAATCTGTTTGCAGCAAAATGATCAAGACGTGTCACTTAACAATTGGATCAGAAGAGGGAGACAAAATATAGTACAGTATAGAGGTTAGTGTCAGTGAAACCTCAGGCTAGAATCACTTCACCTTTATTTATTTATTTTTAAAAAAAGAAAAAGTAAGAAGAGTTGACAGAAGGAGTGGGGGGTGGGTCACGTGGGTGATGTTTCGGGGTACAATTACGTGGATGTCCAGTTGCAGGAGACAGCTCCGAGTTTCAGTTTCGTGACTCGCTCCGAGTTCTGATGAGTTATCTTCTGTCCTTTTGTGGGCTTGTGTGGGGCCCAATTTATTACTCTTATATTGTTTCAAACTTTGACTAATGTTTGAGCTACCTAATTAAATCATTTTAGTTATTGTGTGAATAATGAATGTATGTACGTACAGTTGGTTTAAGGGCTATGTGAATTGAAAGATGTAATGACTAATGAGGATGTGATATTGTCAAAACTAGGAGTAGCTTAGCTTGTAGTTGGATCTTCATCAGTTAGTTCTGATCCGATCATCCAATTACATTCATTTCATTATTGTACTACAGTATTACTCCATATTATGATAAGTGTAAACTACGGAGTAGTAATGTACACGTTCTATACCATGTTTCACCCTCATTTTATAGCTATTTTCGTATGGTTTTTGAGCTCTATGGAGCTACTTCTTGCTAATATTCTTTTCTCTAGTGTGGCTTGATCTATTTAATTGATTTTGTAGGCACATGAAGATTTTCGGATGATTTGGACTTGTTTTGGATAGCCATGAGAGCTTATTAAGATGGAGATAATTTTACCCGTGTCCGCCCTGGAGGGCAACATTGCCCTGGCAGCCAGGGCGAAGAAGGAAATTAAGGAAGGAGAAGAGAAGAGCAAAGTAGTACATAGATGTATCTTAACCCCGTCGCCCTGGCAGGGCAAGGTTGCCCGGGCAGACCGGGCAAGTGAAGTTATCAACATTATAAGCTCCGAAAGTCAGATTTTCTACTTGATACTTCTCGCGCCCGACCAGGCGGCTTTGCCCGATTTGACCGGGCACGGTTTTGCGAAGCCCGTTTTCTTATTTTTCGGGATTTCTTAATTAAGGGATATAAATACTCGTTGTAAACCCCGATTAAATATACTTAGTTAATATATTCTAGCTTTTAAACCTTCATTAGAACCCTAATATTCTCTCTAGATCTAGATTACATCTTACTTTCAAGTTTTAATCCTTATTCATCAACAATTGGTACTTTTCTTCATTCAAGCAATTGGTATTCATCTTTATTTCTTCTTTTACTTTTAATTGCTTATTAATCATGTTTTCTTCATTGAATATTGTTTTCGCTTTCGTTAATATGTGTGAGTAGTTTTCTTATTCCAAGATCTAGCGGAACCCGAATATGATTAATTCATGATTTAATTCTTTAAATTCTCTAATAATAATTGTAATTGATATGCTTAATTGATTATGCTTATGCCAATACTAGATTAGGGATGATTGGTATTGTTATTAATCCTTTGTTTTAATCACAACGGGAGTTGGGTTTTGACGGATTTGAATAAATCAATTAAGGGTTTGAAGTTCATCACGAGAATAGTTGAATGGATGATTAGGAAGTTAGAGTAATGTGCTTAAGGTCTTTAATTTACATGATTCCACGGAAGTAGGCTTGATTGTGATTAGAGAATCCATTGATAACTCGGGAGAGACCGATGGTATTATTCATGGATTACTTTTCCTCTTTAATCAATTGAATTATGTATTAGGGGTAGAACGACTATTGCTAATTCTATTC